TTCTCAGGATTATTCCAAAAAGATTGCTGCCGTGAATTCGATTCCTTTTCTTACTGTTTGATTTTATACAGCGTCCTGGATGAGCAGATGTATTTGCTGATGTATTTGAGCACTTTTTTGGCGACCAACGTAGAAAGATTTTTAGGTTGGTGTCGCTTTTAATACACTGGTATAGATACCAGTGTTTGTGCAGATCAGAACTTCCTAGAAAGTGTTTGTGAAATTTGCTTAATTTTCAGGGTACAATCCTTAACCAGGCAGTCATCGCTGGTCTCATGTAAGGTCACGATAGTGGGTTGGTAACGCCTATCAACGCATCACTCACCCACGGGCCCATTAGGCTGTTGTTTCCCAACGAGCGGGAGTTTTGAAACTCCGTATCTCTTGGCGACGCAAGGGCTCGTTCGTGTATACATGTATTTGTGTTTTTTGTTTCTAATTCACTTAATGATGCGATCACTAGGTCAGTGATGAGCGGCTGGTGCGCGCTGCGCTCCGTATACTCTGCGACGAATGACCGACCCCTTGACCAAGGCTAGTACACTTTCCTATATAGCCCCTGTCCTTCAGCGCCTCCACGAAATATAGGCAGGGTAGGTTGGTTCATCGCTCGTTATGTTTTGTTTGGTTTGTTTTTGTTTTTTTGATGCAAAGTTTCACCGTAATCACATCGGGCCTTTCTCTCTGTCTCTCCAAGGCGGTCTCAAGATGAAGATCGCTGTCGTCTGTTTCCTTCTGATCGTATCGAGCGAACAAGGTAAGAAGCCTGAAGCCTTCAGTTACCAAGGAATTACAGCATGGGTACTTTGGACATAAAATTGACTTGATTCATTTTTTGTCGTGAACCCTGTTCGATGATGTCTGCCGTTTAATCTCAAATCTTGAGGGGAAAAGGGCAAATATTCAGCCATCATTCCATTAGTTCACAGACTGTGTCTGGAACAGTTTCTGCCTTTTGTATTCAAAGTATATTTTTTGAAATGGAAAGAATTCCATATTATGGGCGCCATTACTTTTCCCTGCAGTCTCCTAATCTAAGCTAACTGAAAGCGATAACATGATCTATATAAAGTCCAATTTAGCAGGAAAATACCAACGTATTTAGTTAGAAGGAGGGCCAGAGAAATGTAAGGGAGTTTAGGGGGACTTTAAAAAAAAAGCTGGAAAACGTTCTACATACGGACGCCACTTGACACCCAGTGCTCACGCCCTTTGAGATTGGTCTGAAAAATTCTGTTTTCCAAGTAACAAATTGCTTTTGCCTTCAAATTGAACTTTTCTGGACATATTTTTGCTTTCCAACGGCTTACAGGTCACTGTAAGGAATAATTACTGGTGTTCGTATATGGAACTCTTTCCAATGGGCTCTTCCCATTTCACGCATAAAGTTTTCCCTATTATAAGAGCGTTTTTCTCCCACATTCCGGGCATCCATGGCAGTCTCCAACGTGTAGCTGATTGTATGAAATAGCTCGAAAATATCCTAAATTTATCTCCAACGACAGTACGCTCAACTTCCGTGCAATGACTTGCAGGTGGGTGTTTCATCCAGTAGTCTGTAAACAAATACAATAGTTATCGGAAAGTGCTAATTTTTCCATAGTTTCCCAACTACGGAGACACCGCATTCAATTACAAGCGCATTCCCGGACCGTCGACGCATGCGTGCGTTTGGCGAATTTTAACTCCCTATCTAGACTTGAATCAAGTCTGTACGTTGCTCTTCCTTAGCAGTCAACCATCCCCATCCCCGTGGCTGGTATACGGTACGCACTACGCGGTCGTCACGCGTCGCGCTCGGCCTGGTAGTCTTGGTTTCAAGACGTTAAAGCTTGATATCGGACACCGTGCATAGTGCGCCCCCAACGACTCATAATTAGACTGTGCAAATAAAACAACTATCGATCACTGAGGTCTTGGGCCAAGACTATCGGCCTGGTAGCTCGAATAACCCTTGTAAGGCGCCTTCATTATAGCCTTTATTGTAAGACATGTTTCATACGTCACCAGTCAGTAAGTCCGACTTGACGAATTAGCAAATCGGACCCGGCGTATCGGTTATTCACAATTGCATATGAACGACATGATCTTGCATAATTGCATACGGAATTTCCACCAATCGAAGTAGTCAGACTTGTAGACTCATTCATTACAATGCAGGCATGAACGACGTCATGCAGGCATGAACAAATCCGGCAATGTGATTGGCTGCTTCCACTTTTGGCAGATGAGCCCATTCGCTGTGTGCAAACGGATAGCAGATTCGTCAAGTCGGGATTTCTGAACTGAACTCATAGTAATAAGTGGACGCAAGAGGGCGCGAAAAAAGTACTACCGTTCTCGTTATTCAATGTGTATCCGAAGCAGAAACGAAGATTTAACAGAGATCCCGACTTGAATCAAGTCTACGGTATGCGGTATGCGGTATACGGTTCATAGTGTGATTTCATTTCAGTTTAAACCACGCCCACTACTCTTAGAGTTACATGCATTGATCGCCGTTTACGGAACCATGGAGTTACATGTAATTCAGCGATCGTCCAATGGGAGTCTGCAAATCGTGGTGCGTCCGCCTTTCTTTGTGAGACGTCACTTACAAACCGGATTGGTCGAAGAGGCATACCCTCCGAATCACACCATAAGCGCACGATGGAACGAGTTATCTATCAGCATTTATTGTGTTGGGATCTTTTAATCGTCATAAGAGTTCAAATAACGGGCATCACTCACCCCCCCGGTTATAACATGCACTCCCGTCCAAGATAGTGATCGAAAAATTCCGTAACATTTTTTTTTCGGCAAGTCTCATGGGTTTTGTGCAGAGACCCCGATAGCGACCCTGCTATTAGAGGCAAGTGCGTAAATGATTCAAATATCGACGACTAGGAGGTCATCGTATCGAATGGTCTGATTTAACATCATTGCAAATCGGTAGTATTATATTGGATGCACACAATTCACTATGCATATCATATTTGTAGATATTTTTCAAACTGATAATTTTGAAGTATTTTTTTTTCTAATATCATATACTCCTCTAAAATGCCACTGTAGTTTCATTATTAGCTTTATCTTTTTCTTCCGGGTTTAGTTGTCGAGTTTAGATCAGTGTAAAACTCAGTGCACAAGGGTTCACCTGTATGTGAGTTAATTCTCCAAGGATTGTGTTTTCATGAACCAAAATCTCGTGAGGAAAGATGGAACCAGTGGCTGTCCCTTGGCCTAATTTTGTTTATTCCCCAGCGAAGAAAGTACAAAACAGAGACCTCAGTGGACTTTCAAATGAGTATAAATTTCACCACCACCACGTGGGGAAGGAGAAAAAGTGAAGGGTTATGATCGATACACTAAATCTGGGGATAACATTTCGGTGCCGGTGGTATCATTCTTTCAACTATCATACTGATAAATTCGCAGTAATGAGATTAATACAGACTCCGTATTCTGCCTTGTTTGCTCTTCCGTGTGGGTGGACACAAGGGCAACATTTTTTTGCCATGCAGGAATATGCCGATAGCAACCCCGCTTTTGGAGGCAAGTACTTGATACGATACTTATCGAACGACTCTAGGCGGTCAATGTGCCATGTGCCGAACGGTCTCCGGTCCACAGTTGCAAATCCTGGGAATTCCCGTGAAGTTGAAATACTGCTCAGTGGCACGGCGCAACCGTTCGTTCACGTATACATTTACACTCATCTAACGATTATCATGTCACGGTCGTGCCCGGGCCGAGTTTTCCTTCAAGTGCCACGGTTGGCCAACGTTATGACTCAACACACTACTACTAGATAAAAATACAACCCCATTCGAATCTAATGGGCCATTTTGTCCTTTTTGAATGAATTTTGTGGTGAAATTGAAAACCAACCAAAAGGTGATATTTCTGCATACTTTTGGCCGCCCATACAAGTCGTAGGCAAAATAGGGTGGTCTATAAAGTGTGCCAACTCAAACCACTCGACAGATTATTCAGAAACGATAGAACAGTTTAGAAATCATCTAATTGTGCAAAACCTGATACGACTCAGTGTAATAACCCCAAGTTTTTCTACGTAATCAAAGGCTTCAAATTTTCCTGGCTAATTTGAATTCAATATTTGCGCCGCCTGACGCACTATAGGGCTAAATCAAAATGTCTACTTTTTAAAGTCTTTTCCAAAGGAGATTTGTTAGAATTTTGGTTTAAAAGCTTTATTTGAACATGTTAAGCTTATATAATCTCTTTTGCAAGATACTCAATTTGTTTATGAGTCCATAATTAAACACAGAAATCCAATTGGAAAGATGTGTCTGCATGATATTCTAAAGCATGGCAACTGATGAACGAATAACTCGATTTTTAAAATGGAAACAAAAGGTCTGAAAAAGGCCCTCGCTATGTTTTTCTTAATCGAGAACATAATTTAAATAAGGTCGTCCAAAGAGCGATTTTCCATTCATAATTCTGATTCCATGAAACCAAGATTGATAGAAGTTGCAATGCTGCGTCATCGAAGTTGCCAGAATATTCTGGAAATCCCCGTCGTGATGAGAAATCGTAAGCGATCGATCACGCCCCAAGGGCCTACCAATAAATTAGCATAAATCATGCACCAATCATGTCGCAGTTCTGTACGTCGGGATAGCTATAGGACTATTGCTGCGCCATATCTGTGTGAGACATCGCTCGTCTCGTACACGAAGTTTTCTCGTGCTCCTGAAATTCCATTTCCAACCTGAAACAACAGCGTTTCGCTGACTGACCAGGCTGAAGTCACCCCGGCATTTCGAGCACTCATTTTCCACGATGATGAGGGTGGTATTTTGTGTGTTTTTGGCCGTGTGTTTGTGTCTGACACGAGGTGTTGGTAAGTCATTTTTATTTTGTTGCATGCTGGGGGTCAAGCGGGGTGACCGTGACAGGGGCGTGGCCATAAAGGGAGGGGAGGATGGAGTGAATAAATGAAATGGCCAAATTGCGACACAAGCAAGGTTTCGTCTCCTACACGATTAGTTTGGCTTCCTTGCTGTTATTTCTTGCACTCCGTAATGTTTCAAAATACAGGCCATTTTCAAATTTATGCACAATGATTTATTTATGATATTTATTCATAATTATAAGCCTATCGTCCACGCATCACAGTCTGAGCACACTGTAGGTCAATCAAACTTGGCATCCCAAAATAGATAACTGCAGAGAAGTACGTCAAAACAGTTCTATTTTGTCGCAAACTGATCCAAGATTAGATGAAACAAAATGTGGGTCTGACAGTAGGCCAATAAAAATTAGAGGTGGTGGACGGATGCTGCCAACTACTACCTCAAATAATTTTAATTTATTCATTGGAAATAAATCATACACAGATTTAAAATGTTTTTATTCTATTCTTATATTATTGCAGTTGTGATCAACCTGCCATCTGTGTTTATCCTTTTGTTGTTGTTGTGTGGGTATTGTTTTTCCTAGATTCTTTGGAATGTTATAGCTGCACTGATTGTGGACTTTCGGGCATCTTCTCCATCCTGGAGACCAAGACTACTTGTGCAGACCTTTTAGGAACTGGCCGATGTTCCAAGACCGTACTGCCTGATGGAAGTAAGTGAGAGAAATCCTTTACAGTCAACTGTGCTGTCTATCACATTACTCCAAGTCTCAGCTCAAACAGTGAGGAATTTTGGACAATAAAAAATTGAGACATCAGAATATACGTGTAGTTGTCTGACAGTTAATTGAGATGACAAACTTTCCCAATTCTCCTAGTAAAAATTCATCATGGATATCGGATGTGCTTAAAGCGACCCCACTGGAAAATAGGAGAGGGGAAGATCTTGAACCAAATATTTGGGGGCAGTGCATAAAAAATGGAAATTTTTGTAACCTTTAATGGCCTTTTGACGTGAAAGGGAATTAAACTAGATCAAAAAAAAAAATAAAATTGCATTTCATTAATTCCCCTACCAACAAACTGAGGCCTCTCTGCTGAAGGGAGGGTCATATTTTGGCCCCCCTGGATCAGCCCTTGAGGTAGGAGCTAATCTTTAAAGGTATTTATCCTTCTTTAAATCGTGTTGAAAGGTGATGAAATTTGGTAGTAAATATTTCACAACCTATCAGTATATTCCGAAAAGTTTGCTTTGAGAAGGTAATCTTGATGCAGCATCACGATTCACCATTGTCTTTTTCATCAACAGCTGTGGACAGAGGTTGTGCTGATGCGGTGACTTGCGCTGGTACAGATCTGTTCGCCAAATGCAGAAGTGCAAGCGACACCAACTGTAGAATCTGCTGCGACACGGACACCTGCAACAGCGCCTCCAACATCAAGGTTGCCTGGTTGGCTGTCCTCCTGCCTGTGGCTGCTGCCATCTTGGCTGCACGCTTCTAAATCATGCATATTCATGAGCAATAGTCCAATCCGCACAGGTTTTGGCATGTACAAACTTGATAGTAACTGTCTTTATAGTGTTTCTGTAATGCCATCCGGCTTTGCTAGCTTTGAGTGCTAAGTGCCATCTTGTCCTGAAGTTGACTGAGAGACTAAGAGATGGTGCCTTTTATTTCATTGTTAAATGAGGGAGACTAAAATGATTCGGCTTTTGAGGCCGATGAAGTGCTTCCTTCATTTATAATACAACAGTAAGGCAACCTATCAACGTTTGTAACCTTCGTGATGAGTGGCTGAAATTATGACAGTTCATTGAGTTCAGTACTATATCGTTGCTCGTATCTTAGCCATTTTAAGATAGTTTCGTTAACTTTAAGTTTTTCACAATGGCCTGCACCTACAGTTTCTTTAAAATATTTTTATTTTGTGGCAGCATTTTGTTTCCTTCCAAATATTCCCAGACACACTTTTCACCACTCACTTTAATAATAATCAACAGACACAGTCGTGTTGACATAAGGCAACCAGCAAAATGTTTTGTCTAAACAAATTAAAACAAGCCGCGTGTGTGTCGGGTACATGCCCATGTATCTGCAGCTATTGTGGCTTTCAAAAGTAATGGCTCCTGATGCGTCAGCGTAATAAATTGTACTTGCAACATGCTACAAGCGGCAAATTTCATGCTTGACTTGTCATCTCTTAGGGGTAGTACCATACATCGGACGTCACAGCCCTCAATTCACTTTAGACGTGGAAGAAGTCGAAATCTGAATTCCTTTCCGACCTTGTCTGTTCCTGGCTGAGCGGTGTGAATCTGGTAATAGATTTTTAATATCATCATTCAACAATGTTCAATCATTCATGTTAGTGCATACATGCAGGTCACACTGTCAGTTGACCACAGAAATCTTCGTCTTCAACACGTTCAGATGTTTGATATGAATGGGTGTACATATCAGTTTTTTTTATTCTCTTGACAAGTGTCATACCTGTATTCGTAGAGAACAGGGGGGACATGTTTTCTTCCAGAACATGAGACAGTAATTTCAGATCCACTTAAGTACATAAACACCCCTCTTAAAATTTTCTTCAACTTGAGGAGGTGTTGTCTGTTCATTCTAATGATGATGTGTTTTGTGAAGAATTTAAGTACAGCATCCGAAATCTCCCATTGCAATTTTATATCGCAGGAAATAAAAATATTCAGTACCACGTTGTAGTATGTTTTAATGTCCTTTTCTTTTTCCTTTCTGGCTCTCATAATATCCACTCTTTACTGTCTGATCAAGTGTCTTTAGCTATTTGAATTTCTAGCCCTACTACCACATGGCTAAGAGACCTTTTGCTAATGGCATAAAGGGCACTAGCGTATGCCATACATGCCATTAATTCTACAACAACTTATTCAGTACCACAGAATCTACCTGTGCAATAAGCCTAGCTCTTCTAGAAATAGTTGGAAGCAGCACTGATTGACTCTATTTTCACAGGAAGGACACCACCCAACCAACTAGGGACAAAACCTTGAAGAAACTCCTCCCTGTTTGCGCAAAATTGGCTGCAAATTTAAAATGGAACTGTGGCCGCGATAATTGAAGTGGAATTCAACTTGAAAGTCCAGTACGTGTTCAGCGTGTTGTGTTTTGGGACGTGCATGGAAGTTACTTACATGTGCACTTTGATCTTTACAACAGTGAAATGTTGTGTGGTGTAATTATATGAACAGATGAAAGGGTGTTTATGATTGCAACTGCTCGTGCGTGACAGTTGAAATGGCATTCTGCTAAAACCTGTGACCTTTAGGACGAAGTTGTGGTGGCCCTATCGTGCACTGGCGCGGCGGCAGAACGATTTTCAAAGGGGGGGGGTGTGTTAGACCATCAGGCATCGGCCATTAATGGGTCGATGCATTATGCCCCACCCAATTATATAAAACCTGCAAAAAGTGGGGGCAGGTCCCTACCGTCGAAAAAGTGGGGGCTTCCACCGCTAGTGATATCGTGGATCTCTAGATTATTTTGTTGCATTGATCGCAACACATAGACCTATTTCATTCTGTCTTCACAGCCTTACAGAAAAGAGGTTTTGGAAAAAAACGGTGAGAAAAGGGGGAAAAATAAGACATCCTACCTTTTCAGTCCTTTTAATGATATTCATTCATAGTAAAACATTTACTAGTTATCAATGAAGTCGGACGTCTGAAATAAAAACATCAGAATTTGGAGTCGTTTTGTTAATTGGGGCTCTAAATTCTCCATACATCATGATATTAACTTTTCCGAAGGTTGCATAATGTTAGACTTGTGAAGAAACTGTCTTTTATCTTTCTTATATCGCGTGGTGTAAGCTTTTCCCAATAAATGAAAAGGATAACTGATATTGTGTGGCTCGATTTCTTACTTGAGTGGTTACAGATCTGACCTTCGTCAAAAGTTAGACAGCAGATAGTTTTGGGCGCGAACACACAGAAGAACTTAAATCCACTTTTTCAAACCGACCTGATCAGAAGATCCCGACTGCTTAGGTGGAAGAGATCTTGATACGACGGGGAACAGGCCGCCTCGGAGCAGTGGATGCGGGGCAGTGCACGCACGAGGTCAGTGGCGTAGCTAGGATTTTACTAGGGGGCACAAAGGGGGCTTTAATAATTGTCGAAGGTTAAGCAACATTTTCAAAAGAATATACAATGCCATTCAGTGCAGATCTGGGTAAAGTAAAATGCAGGAACCATGCCATTGTATTCACATACTTAGAATAATAATATAATTCACATACTTAGAATAATAATATTGGCGAATTTCTTTGATACTGGTTTCAAAGGGAACTGCTAGCCTAAGGCTAACTGTCTGGCGTGTTAAATAGCTTCCATACAGCCAGGCGTCTGTACATGGATTGTATTGTATTTCAATATTACGGTCGAGATAAGTCCCGGTGTTGCAGTGACAAAAATTCCCACAACTCCGTTTGAAGGTATTTGAACCGATATTTCCTAGTGAACATTTTTGTTTACACAGTGCACATTAATTCTGGCCTCTTCTGATAAGCTTACACCGGATTTCCTTAACTTGCTTTGCAGCTCCAGGAAGAGCAAACCATGCAATGGGTGTTGATGACCAGTGTCACTGGGAAAGTAAACTTAAACAAGAGTTCACTTGCGACGTGTGGACGTTTGGAAGTACATGGCAAAATGAATTCTGCAGATTTCCCACTGGCAGGTCGAAACAGACTCTTGTATTCTGACAGTCTTGAAGTTGCATGCAGTTTTCGGCTGGGTTTCACAATTTATAGGGCCGGGAAATGTAATTCATATGTTTTGCAGGTTCTATCTCTGTCTTGGTACCTTTGTGATGTTTTTTAATAATTCAAATTTCCAATAATTCAAATTTCATATTCATGAGTAAAAGTATGTGAGGCCATCCAAAGGATAAACCAACTTAGAGTTAAAGCTATTTTTTTCACCAAAAACTGGCCAGAAGTTAGGATGTTTTACCATAGCACAGTTTGTTCACCGTGACTTTGGGGATTCCTTGTTTCAGTTCATGAAAGCATGAAGACAGTTGGCCAGTGAACTCAGTTTTTTTCAGAAATACTTTCACTGGGCACATCTGGGCTTCAAAATTGAACAGAAACCCCTCTCTCCAAAATGAACCGTGCCATCCTGTTGTGACACCACAATGTTTCATCTTCATTTTGACCAGAAAAGGGTGGAAACATTTCACGTGTTCCCGAAAGTACACTTTTTAGGGAGAAGAAAAAGAGATGTGATGTAGTTATCTTGCATTAATTAAAAACAAGTAGAAAACTGCATAAAACATTTCCCGAAGTAAAATTTGAAAAAAAAAATTAAAAATTAAAAACCAAAAGGATCCGTAATTATAAATTTACGGATCCTTCTAGTCAAACGGTTACCCCGAACTTTGAAATCCAATCCTTTCCAGTTTACCATAAAAATTCATGACACCTGTACGTGTGGTTTTTCATTGGAGTACAGCGCCCGTTTTATTTGCTCTCATGCATGAAGGGTGTAAGCTATGTAGAAATAAATTTACATTCACCAATGCAAAATAATTTTTGGTCAACCTAGCCAAGGACTATCCAGTACAATGAAGTGTGGGGAAAACAGGTGTGCCCGTTGTGGAGGCGTTCAGACATGTAAATGGGTTTCCTGAGGCGTAACATGGCCGCAAGAAAACACCGTCTCAAGCTTTATTTCCTTTTTAACTAGTAGCCAAAAAAGCACACGCGAAACGCGTAGGAATTTTGCGGGGTAACTAACCACGACAATAATTCAAAGTACTGAAAATTAAAGGGCAACTGCAGTGACAAACTGTCAACATGTAGCCTACCTTTGTGTTCCCGTTTAATACGCTGACTTTCCTTGTTATACTGTTTTAAAGGGTACTTTACTACCTTTTTGGTTTACGTAATAAATGCTTCCATATTCATGAGCAAAACTGTGATGTCATTCAAAGAGGAAAACCTCATTAGTGTGTGAAAAAACGCTGGATTAATTTAAAAAAATAAGTGGCCTGAATTTCCTTTTCTTTGGTAATAGCATAGCATATAGTCAGCGAGTAGCCCCCTTTTTTCAGAAACCTACGAACAGAATCACGTCTTCCTCGACTGACATCACAGCAACAGCGCCCCCAGTTGACCAGGAAATCATGGCCAATTGTTCACGTTCAATAAAAGTCAACTCTCCAATACAACCCAGAAGTAATGTAATGCATACATTGGAGAAGAGTTTAAAGTTGTAGAAATGGCATGTCCGAGTGTTCACACTGCCCTGTGTTTCCTACCTCTTGTCTTGGACAAAACTGTACCTGGATATTTCATATTTTAAGTACGTTGTTACGTAAGAGAGGGATGGGTCCACAAAGGGGATGCTTGATTAATTGCCCACCCGTAATACCAGCTGATTTTTTTAGAAATAGCTGCGAACCTTACAAGAACAGAGGACAAACTGCATTGAACTAGGCCTGAAAAAGGCTAATCACCATTTTGAAAGTGGACGAAAATGCTTTTCCCGACTTAAATTTAAGAACTTCATTGTCTACAAAATATGTACAATTCAGCAACATCCTTGCATTGTCTGCCAAAGATACAAAAGAAATAGTACCTCATACAAAACTTGTACTGGTTTATAAAATGCAGCCAGAAAAAAATACTACCGTAACTTTACCTTTAATTGGAATTTCAAAGGAGTCTGCATGTGCCAAAATTCCGTCACAAAAGGTCAAGGTTTGAGACAATTGTCAAAGTCCCGCAGAATTCAGTTTTTAAATGACATAATTAATCCAATTACACACAAAATGTAACTCCACAATAACAAGAACTTAAAGATTCAATTTTGCCAAAATGTTGTTTTTCAGAAGCAACCCTCCTTCGGAAAATTTAAACTGGATTAGGCCCTAGATGTACTAAGATCAACTTTAAAGACATGGAAATTTGCACCACGCACCAACGGTTTCAACAAATCTTCAAAACAAAACAAGAAAAATGAACATATCTTAGAAATATGAAACACGATGTTGGCAAATCCAGCAGCATGGTAGCTGATATACTATCACTAATTTGCGAGTTCAAAAGCGCTGCTATCGCTTTATGTCCAGATTTTAAAATTACTATGCTAGGCAAACCTAAGACTGAAAAACACTCAGTCAAGCACAGAGTACAAAAAACAGGAAAAATACATGTAATGTAACTTCATCTATGTACAGAATTTACAAAGTAGAAAAACTCAAGCAGGTTTACGCCTAAAATATTAATAAAATACACGGTTGCCCTTAATTTTAAGTCCGAGCAAAGAAAGGGTCAAGATGATTTGAATACAATAATTATTTAAACAATGTCAAGTATTAAGCACCATCGTAAAATTTATGGCAGTGTTCAACAGATGGTCGAAAGTTAAGTACCACTCTTGTTTATTACATTATTTTCAAGGACTGTCATATTTTATTTCCATTTCTTTTCTAGATCATGTAACTATGATAAGGCAGTGATTAAAAAACTGGCTGGTAGCTCTCATTTCATTCCATGGTCCAGAGACAAGTTCAACGTTCAACTGAAAATATCAAAAGGAACTGTCAAAGACTGGTTTACCTGTCTTGACTGGTTTCAGTGGTGCATTCCTTCTCCTTCATTGCTCTGAACCCAGGTTTAAATACTTTCCCGACTCCAGAAATTTTCCTGGGTCAACTGTCTGGGTTTGTCTCGCATTTGTCTCTCTACAAGTTTCTTTACACTGCGCCATTTGTGCCTTGACAGAAATATTTGATTTTACTGTTAATACATGTAATGTGTATTTTACAAAGCAATGCCATGTAATGTCCAATTGGCGCTTGCGATAATACCTGATTATTACCCCTGCTCATCTGGCCTATATCAAAGCTCCGCGGCAGCCATTTCAGGAACAAACCACTGATCAAACACAATGCCGCCCTCGCTGGTACCAATCACTTCTCACATAGGTACCCATCACGCCCTCACAGGTACCCATTACATGTATACTGCCCTCACAGGTACTCGTCATTGCTCTCACTGGTACCCATTTACTCCTGGGTGGGTGGGTGGAGAGGAGCAATTGTGGCAAAGTGTCTTGCTCATGGACTCAAGCGCTCCATCTGTAGAACTGACCACACATCTAGGAATTGACACTGTGTACCACCACCAATCACCACTGTCTTCCCACAATGCTTTGCAGACAGTCCAGCATTTCCAACTGTTGAACACATGAGGGTAATTGGTTGAACCTGGTGGGGGGCATGTACATGCAGTAACACACTACTAAACAGATGGCTTGTCATAAAAAAACACCTGGAGAAGAAGGCTACATCAGCCAATACCTACATGTGTGTACATGTAGTTACAATTCATTTTCAAAAAGTCATTAGGCCTACAACATTTTTTAGAATAAGTCTGTCCTCATTAAAGAGGTGAATACAAAACTAGCAGCACTACACAAACAGTTAAATAGTAACAAAAAATTCAAAAAGTACAAACTTGTAATACGTGACGATTCTATGTACAAAAATCGTTAAAATACGTGACGATTCTATGTACAAAAATTGTTAAAATATATTCTTGGGCTGAGTAATTGGTTTACTGTATATAAAAAATTTACTGTACAAAGAAGGGTGATTCCTTCATAATTTACACTTTTTAATTTCCTTTCAAAATCAATTTTGAATTATTGGAAAAACTGTTATGCTATGTTCTGCTTGAGGTGAATATTTTGGCCCCGTAGTAAAGGCTGAAGAAAACTGGGTCACAAGTCTTCAAAGACAAGTTCACTGCCAGGACTGGTGTCTTTGTGTTCCCTGTCTGTGCCACAATATATCCACCAATAGAGGGCGCTCACAGTTCCCACACAAGGAACCCTAATCTCAGGGTGCATTTTGACAGTAAAAATCAAAAATTAGTTCGGTTATAATTTATCAGAGACTGTGGTTGGAAATTTTCAATGGGCGAGAATGACACGTGATGATGTCACACTCAAATTCTCAAAGTGATTAACATGAGAGAATTTAGAAACAATCTGGCCAAATTCTTGGTAAGGATTGGGAAAACCTTAAACACAGAAAAGCCCAACTTCCCTGAACAGCTGGAGGCAACTTTGTTCTGCGTATGCAAATACTCCGTCTGCTGATTGGTTCGTGCACATGTAGCGCTGAGTGAATATTGTGCAAACACGTACAAGAGCACCTGCACATTGTTATGCATGCACGATACGCGCGCGCTCAATGACACGTATGAGTTACTCATCTCGAGCACAGCTCTTTTCATGTGAATTTCTTTTTCTGAGTCAAACCAGAGCACTCTTGGATGCAACTTACAAGTTTTGTTAAAATTTCAATAATATACAAACATCAATGCCTTGATTTTTAGTAACCTGGGCAACGGAAGGTTAACAGTACTTCAGTCATGCCAAAAAAACAGCGACAAAGCTGTCGGCAATCCTTTTAACTTATATCAACAAAAAATATATGAACATTCTGCACCGTACTGTATAGCCTTGTTGAATAATAAAATACATATAAATATATACATCTACAAAAAAAGGACACTTGCGGGTAGAAACCGAACTGTCTTCGAAGTGTACTTATTTCATAATCCAGATTTTCAGAAATAAATACAGGAAAATAAGCCTAAGCATGATATCCTTGTACAAGGCTCAAGGTATCATGTTTGTTCCCAAGTCCAGTGACGCAATACATAGGTTTGAAACGCTTTCAAATGTGATTGTTATCAGGCGTTGTTGATAACAAGATCAAACACTAAAATTTAAATATCCCACCTTTTCAAGAAGTAAGAGTTGTAGATTTGTTTCCACTCACATTTAAACAAGAGTTGTAAAAACTTAGGACCCAAATTTATTGAAACTCATAATAATTGATGAAAAAAATCTGGAATTCGAATGTCGAGACCCAGAATGACTTCAAGCAACTGAGACGGTGGAAGGAATCGAAATTTTAAAAACTGCTCCCTGAAGACTAGCACAGCGTTCCGTTACTCGGAGTTGTCGACGGGTAAGAATACCCACAAGCCCCTGCAACTTCCTCCAGGTCGTCATTGTCATCCTCGTCGTGGCAACCGGCAGAAAGGTTCAAGGGCTTGAGCTGGTCATTGTTCTTCTTGAGGGGCAGCTCGCTGTTGGCTGGCGGGGGTAACATCTTCGCCACCTCCTCATTGTTTAGCTTGACGACGAGGTTGGCCTGCGGGATCTTATTCGACTGTGGGCAAATTCAAAACCATGAAGTGGATTTTACAAGGGTGACTTTTAGGGAGAAAGACGACAATGAAACACAGCAGTCTGGAGTATTTCCATATTTGCACGGCCTATTATGTCACAAATCTCACACAATCTGACCAATCACTAGGCTTGTTCTAGCAGCCTGCAGCGGATGGTATGGGTGTTTCCATGTTACAGAGTGCTTTTCTTAAAGGTTGCACCACACGGAGCTTAAGTTCAATTGTACAAATGTGATGGGCTGTGCAAAAAACCAGACTACAGACATAAGCTAGATGTTCTAGAACACATTTGTATTGATGGGATTTAAAATTTGTCGTTGCCAACTTGAGATATTTAAAGTTGAATTTGGACAAAAATTACTGTACCAGTAGGGAAACGTTACTATGCCCACATGCAGTAGTACTCTAGACTACACTGTGACTGAACAAAATTCTCTCCAAAATGGTTAAGATTATGTGCATCGTGAGGTTTTTTGCTACTTTTTGTACAAAGAGCCTGAGAAAGTCAAAGGAACAAAGCTGATTAAAAAGTCTGGTATTCTGGGGCCTAAATCCTGAAATCTGGAAAATGTCCTGAGAAAGAAAACCCTGACTTTACGTTTTATTCCATCCTGCAATATTACCCATTTCAGAAAAAAAAAAGGTAATCCGGAAAAACAAAATAAGTGTGGCACAAAACATGTATTACTTAATGTTAAAAGAGTAAATACAGGGAAATTACAGAAAACTGCTTGAGAATGTTTTATTACCGGATCTGATGAGTAATAGTTCCAGGAGCAGGGTTGTTTCTTGGGAAGGATTGTAATCTCGTTGGTGATGTGGTTGAATCGTGGATTGGAGAAAGTCACAATTGGGTCGCTACGGCAACCTCTCCTCTTCCTGAATAGGAAACAATGAAACAGTTCGTTCACACCAGAACTGAGAACTATCATTCGGATTGGACAATAGCTGGTCATGTGACCACAGTGAAATCAAACTTTAAGACTGAAGAGTGATTTGCTCAACTTATCTGTGGCAAACATCTAAGATTCTGTTGGAAAAAGTCTTCCTATCTTTGGAAAGTAGGCAAATCAAAGACTAATTTTGAAGTCAAATGCAAAAACAATCTAGTCTCAATGAAATCTGAACAGGTTTTTGCAAAATTTAATTCTAGTCCTTTAAACCAAGACTGTTGGTCAGTCGTCTTGTTGCTGTGGCTTAAGAAATCTGCAATTTCTGTAAGTTTTTAAATTCTAAACTTGCAGTTTTTATCAATTAATTCCATTGGCGTCATGAAAGCAAGGATTGCCATCAAAGTGAACAAATAAAAGAAATCTAAGAAAGAGAAGGTAGAATGAGTGCAAGGGAAGGTCTTTGGGAACAGGAGGTAACTTAACCCTCATTTTGTGGGAGCACGTCATGGATGATACTTACTGATATCTCCTCCAGACCACGAATACAATAAGAAGCAGAATGAGGAATATCAGGAGAAGAACACCGACGACCACAAAGACATAGGAGCCCGGGTCTGGAGCCAGTTGACGATCGCCATCTTGACCCTGTTGCCGTGTCGACCCCTGGCAACGACCCAGCTGCTCGTCTTGTGGAGAGCAGGCCCTATAGTGGGACATATGATGTGAAAAACCTTGGTAAATGTGTGAAAACTTTGCCAAAAAATGTTAACAAATTAACAAGGATTGGTGCCTTCCAGCGATGCAGAACCGATATTCAATTTCTTCCAGTTTTCAGGTCGTATCAACACTGTAACGCAATCCTTATTCAATGGGGCAAATGACGATTTGGAATGCTGGTCATTCATTTGGCCTCGTGTCAACACATCAAATCATCCATTTTTTTGGTGGACACCCAGTAAGTGCCAGAGGTCTAGTGAGATGGACTGGTGTGTTAAACTTGGCCACTGTACCCGGCATGGTGTGAGAAATATTGTTTCTTGACGGGGGCCCCCGATTGTTGCAAATGAGGTTGCAGAGAGACAAAGAAACTTTTTAAAAACAGATGTCAAGTGGCAGGACGTTGAGGTGTTTGACTGTATTTAAAGACTTAGTTGACACATTTTAACCTTTCTCTAAAAGTCAGGTTTTCGGGAAGAATCTAAAACTCTTTGTAAGTGGTTCAATTTTTTCACACAAAAAAGTTTGTTTTTTACTGACACATGATTCGATTTCTAAAGGTTATTCTTTGCATTTATAAAATGGCTTAAAATGTGGCCCTTTTTCCGTCTTAAACTCTTAGGTTGAAAGGACAGTCGAGCCAACGATGATTGCTGAGAAATTTTTACCCTGGGATTGCATTGCTCTGTGCGGTGGTTGGTGCATGAGGGATGTCGTTGGGGTGCGCTGTTCTGACCGGTGGTCGCAAGGTGCTCGGAGGTGATCTTGGCAGCTCGTTTGGCGAGCTGGTCTGAATGACTGGACCACGCGAGGTGACTGCCGTGGGGGGGTTGACTGGTCCCCCTGGCCCTATGGATTGGAGGAAGTTGTGGAAAGAACAACAACAAAATCAAGTTAACAAGATTGTAATACTCTCAGCAGTGTTCAATCTCATAAACCAGCAACTCGACCCAGACATGTATTCACGTCAGCCAAATCAAGATATTAGCAACACAGCAAGGAAGTGGTGGAGGTTCGTATCGTGCTTTTCATAAACTCAATTGTGGGGAACAATTAATTTAAATTAATTACCTTTCGCTGAACGATGGATTTTTGTTTGAGGTGTCTGAATATGATAATGCTGGAGTCCATTAAGAAAGAATTACAATGTGGCAAATCAACAACTTGGTGATAAAGTTTCCTGTTCTAGCCAATGTCTGGTGGTGCATAGCTTGGTTAACACCTCTTGTTGCTGTAAAACATCTTGCTCATGGACACAAACCTCAAACAGCTCACACCACAACCCTTTCCCTGGATGAATTGTCCGTAAGTGTACCCAGGCCTATTCAAGCTTATTCAAGCCTGCATTTATTTACATCTTGGGTGTTACATTTCTCCCCAAAGCTGTTACCACTGGAGGCAGAACCGGGCAGGGCCGGGGGAATACCCCCCTGGCTTTGAAAAGGTGGTTATTTTTCCCCCCAACTCTCCCACTTTATACGCCTACCAGTCTTTGGTGGTGCACTGCAAGTTCGTAATTGTATTCTTTTCAGTCTAATGGCCGGCGCTTGCCCACCCACTTTTAAAACTGTCCCGCTGGGCGCCACTGGCTGTTACCAATGTAAGACTTCTTTTCAAATCTGAGAGGAGTGCTTACTCAGGGAACAGACTCTTTCATCTCGGTACTGCTCGTCGGGACAAGCGCAGACGTAGCCCTGGGGGCGAGCCAGACACAGGTGCGTGCAGCCACCATTGGCGATGGCGCAAGGGTTGGTACCCGTCTGCCGTAGCGGTGAGACCATCTGGATATTCATCCCCTGGAACGTCCCAGGCAGAGTTTGCTTGTCCTGTCCGTTGGTCTTGTCGACGGACTCGATAGAGGACGTGTGCCAGTCAGTCCAGTAAATTCTGGTATTGAACTACAGTGGAAAACATTCAAAGGAAATCACGTCAGTTCATGAAATAGAGAGAGGATTCGGCTGGTGATGCAGTATGACAGCTTCTATTTTGAGACCCTACACCATCATCACAGACCATCACAAGACCATCACAAGACCATCACAAGACCATCACAGACCATCACAAGACCATCACAAGACCATCACAGACCATCACAAGACCATCACAGACCATCACAAGACCATCACAGACCATCACAAGACCATCACAGACCATCACAAGACCATCACAAGACCATCACAGACCATCACAAGACCATCACAGACCATCACAAGACCATCACAAGACCATGCTGCTCTTGTGACTGGCCTTGTGTCTTATCTTGTGACTGGTCTTCTGAGTGGTGTTGTGACTTGTCTGGTGTCAGGTCTTAGGACTGGTCTTGTGAGTGGTCTTGTGAGTGGTGTTGTGTCTGGTCTGGTCTTGTGACTGGCCACGTGTATAGTCTCTTGACAGGTCCTTGATAGCTAGGCACATATCAGGGTTTCAGACGTTACAATAACTTTGCTAGAAATTAACTGCAGGTATTCAGATGTGTGTTACAGTTTGTGCATACCAAAGTCACACCGTAAGGATGAGACATATTTCTTGTCAAAACGCTGCGATATTTCCCATTGAAGTCGGCCGTCTCCAATTTATCCAGATTGGCATCAGCCCAGTAGAGCCGCTTGGTTGCATAATCGATGGTGAGTCCGTTGGGCCACTTCAGATCTTCACTGATTAGAGTTCGGCGACTCGTACCGTCAAAGTAGGCACGTTCTATCTTGGGATAGGTGCCCCAGTCCGTCCAGAAGATGTAACTGAAAAAAAATTAATAAATCTCATTTAAAACTACAGGATCAGATTTTCATTATAGAAAAGTCAGCCATATTGGATTGAAAGCGAGGCTAACTTTTTTCTTATTTTGGGAGCCTAAGAATAACAATGAAAGTAATTAATTAAAACTTCATGACAAATAAATTTCATTGCCAAAGATAAATAATTCAAAATTTGTGATTTATAATGTCTTAATGTTTTAAGCAACATTAGAAAAAATAAACGTGAGGCATGGAACCCTAAACAGTCTAGCAACACACCATTTGACAGATGAAATCGATTATTTGGTTAAAGTTTGGAATTTGATTTAATAGAAACCATTAAGGATTCCAAGCGGAAAGCACAAAAATGGCCAAACACTTCTCACAATGAAAGTCAGACAAATTTTGTTGTCAGCATCAAGAAATTCAATTTTTCTGAAACTGTAAGCCAATAATCTTAGAACCAATTGCCAAATTATGATCTTCATTGGAAAGGCCAATTCTACCTTTTTGCATATTTTTGATAGCTGCAATTGGACACTTTGAAACAGGACATGCTGAGACGAGGAAATACTGAAACCAGCAAAAAAAAAAAAAACCTCACCCCTTTCTGGGATAAATGGCGATGGCTCGAGGCTCGTCGAGATTTGTATCCACAATGACTTTGCGTGAGGAGCCGTCCAATCGCGACACTTCAATCTTGTCCCGACCAGTGTCTGTCCAGTACAGGTTCCGCCCGATCCAATCCACAGCCAATCCTTCAGTTGTTCCCAGACTGGTGGATATGATTATTTCTCCCCCGCTCCCATCGTAGTTGACTCGTCTGCCATTTTTGAAAAAACGATCATTATGTTCTCTTCATTTTCTCTATACGCCTTATCTTGTCTATCTTATGATTTTGACCGTGTTGAAGGCCTGACCTTTAAACTCTAACATTAGAGACCAACACAAGCTAGACTTGGATCCAGTCTAAGTGAGCTATTCAAATAAACTTAAACT